AAAAAAAAAAAAAGACAAAGATGTAGCTGTATTTTCCAATGCCCAATTTAAACATAAGAATGAGTCTTGCCAGGCGCTGGTGGCTCATGCCTCTAATCCTAGCTACTCAGAAGGCTGAGATCTGAGGATCACGGTTCAAAGCCAGCCCGGCAGGAAAGTCTGTGAGCCTCTTATCTCCAATAAACCACTCGAAAATTGGAAGTGGTGCTGTGGCTCAAGCAGTAGAGTGCTCGCCTTGAGCTGAAGAGCGCAGGGATAGCGCCAAGCCCAGAGTTCAAGCCCCACAACCGACAAAAAAAAAAAAAAAAAAGAATGAGTCTTAAAAATAAACAGAAAAATATGATTTGGTAAAGAAACAAAGATCCAGAAACCAACTCTAAAAGAATACATTTATGAGTAAGCAACAAAAAATTTAAAGTAACTGTCATAAAGCTGTTCATAAAGAACTAAAAGAGAGCATAGACAACTAGTAAAATCAGGAAAATGCTGCATGGAACAAAACAAGAAAATCAACAGAGATAAAAACCATGAAAGAAAAACAAATGAAAATTCTGGAGCTGACAAATGGAGAGACAGTGATCTGACAATGTGATTAGAAAGGTTCAACAACAGATTTGATCAGGCAGAAAAATTACAACAAACTTGAAGACTGACCATTTGAAAGCCTGTCAAGGAAAGCAAAAAGAAAGCAGAATCAGGAATAAGAGTGCAATCTGTATGTAGCACAAGAGAGAGATTCCCAGTTCAATCCTCAGCATGACCCCAAAAAAAACAGAATGAAGAAAAATAAAGTGAGTTTAAGTGGTTTATGGGAAAAATCAAACTAATGTATATATTATAAGGGTATCAGAAGGAGAAGAAAGGAGACAGAATGTGAATTTGAGGAAATAATAGAAAACTCCAAATCTGGGAAAGAAATCGACATATTACCTGAAACTTCAAGCACATCTTTATTTTTAATCACATACAAAAATTACTACAGGTCTAATTACCCCCTTCCTACTTTATTATGCCATAAACTGCAGCTATATATATATATATATATATATATCATATTCATTAACGTTAGATTTATAAATATTTTGTGTGCTTTCATCTTTTATATGTAGCATAAAAATAACGTTGGATTTATGCCCCAAACTGCAGTAATACAGAATTGTCTATTTGTTCATATATAGTAGACACACTTTCCTTTGGGTGGAAGGAGCAGTAGCGGAGCTTGAACTCATGGTCTTGCACTTGCTAGGCAGGTGTTCAATGACTTATGTTTGAGATTGAATCAGACCATAACTCTCCTACCTATGCTCCCAACATAGTTGGATAGGTATGTGTCATCATACTTAGTGTATTTGTTGAGATGGAGTCTTGCTAACTTTTTGCCTATACTGACTTTAAACCTTGATCATGCTGATTGAGATTACAGATATAAACTACTGTGTCCAATTCTAAAAGTAGGATCTTGAAAGGGTATTTTATACATTCATTCTTATAGCACTATTTGCAATAGCCAAGAGGTAGAGCTAACCTAAATATCTATCAATGGATGAATGGATAAACAAAATGTGACATGTGATTCAATAAAATATTATTCAGCCTTAAGAAGGGAAAAAAATCTGTCACATATTTCAACATGAGTAAAACTTAAGGATATAAACAAGGATGTAAGCCTCACAGACACAGACACACACACACACAACTACATGATTTCATTTATATGAGGTATTTAAAGTAGTCATATTCATAAAAGCAGAAAGTACAGTGGTGTTTAACAGGGGATAGGTAGGGAATTGTTATTACAAGTAGGGAATCTTGGTTTTGTAAGATGCTAATGTTTTGAAGATGGATTGCACAACAATATGAACATATTTGACATTACCCAACTATAAATTTGAAAGCTGTCAAAGTAAACTATGTTCTTGGAACATATTTTTTCTTATAAAAAGATAATTTTAAAATAATATAAAAAGTTCTACACTCTCAAAAATAATATACTAAGTTTTTAGTAAAATGCACATAAACATACCCTCCACACACCAAGAACTCATTTGAAGCACGTCTGCCAGCAGTTCCCATTGGCATATCATCTAAGGAGAAAGAGAAAAATGCAGTCCATTTTGTTAACCACATGCTTTTGTTTCAGCATGATAGGAAACAATGAGTACAATATAATCTTACCATGTGTTTATGTTTTAATTTTAGCCACTAGAAATAGGGGAACACAGAAAATCCCACCCAGCTGAGAACCTTCATTGCTTACCCTAAGCAAACCTAGGGTCTTATTGAGGTAAAGTGCTACATTCACTGTCATGTTCACTATTTAGTATTAGCAAACACTATGCTGTTATTTTCTATCAAATTCCTATTTACAGGATACTGACAAATTTTTTTTCTGTGTCATATCCTTACATTATTTTGTCTATGATACTCTGTGATTTTTTTCCTTTCCTTTCCTTTCCTTTATTTATTTTTGTTCATTTTTTTGCCTATGTAATCCTTGTTTTATGTTGTCAAGATGAGGCCTAGCTATATTGTCCACGCAGGTCTCAAACTCAAGCAATTTTCATGCCTCAGGCTTCCCTTCCCTCAAGCAGCTAGGACCATCATGCCAGGCCTGCTCTGTGATTTTTATCTCAGTTTTGCAAAGAACACGTATATCACATATCAGTACTGATCGTAAAGAAAGTCTAATGTACAAGTACCCCATTCTCACTCAAATTTTTCACCAGTTGATGAAACAGTAGCACATACCACAGACCATCTTCATCTACCTCTGCCTTTTGTACATGAGCGTAGCACAGCTCAGAACTCAAGAGACCCTCATTCTATCATTGTTATATATGCCATTTATGTGATATGAAACAGCAATCTTGGCCAAATAATACCTTAAAACAAAATATGTTGTTCATCTATACTGAAAGGGGATGGGGGAGCCAACAATTCCTCTGACTGACTTTATATGGGACATCTCATCTCATATCTCGGTTCATATAAAGCTTATGTTCTAGGAGTCAAAGAAACTAATAATGTCAGGTAATGGTAAGAAGCAACACAAAAATAAACTAGGATAAGGGAACAAAGAATTCCCTCAAAATAGTCATGAAGCTATTCTGAAAACACAAAACAGTTCCTGTAGCAGAATGGAAGAAATGGAAGAAGAGACAAGCACAGAACTAGGTTTCATCAAGTATACTTTGTTTTGTAGCTTTGAATTTGGAACAATATATAATTATAGAAGGCAAAAGTAAATTAAGCCAGGTGCTAGTGGCTCATGTCCATAATCCTAGCTACTCAGGAGGCTAAGATCTGACGATTGCAGTTTGAAGTCAGTCTGGACAGCAAAGTCCGTGGACTTTTATATCCAATTAACCACCAAAAAGCCAGAAGTGTAACTGTGACTCAAGTGGTTGAGCTCTAGCCTTGAGCTAAAAATAAAAAAAACTCAAGAATCGCATTCAAACCCTGAATTCAAGCCCTACGACCAGCACAAACAAAAAACAAAAACAAAGGAAAAAAATCCCTAGAAATAAAAAGAAACAAAAGAGCCTAATACCATTTATCAATTTGGTAGCTTAATTGCCAGAGGAAAAATACTTCAAGAGATTTTAAAACTCTGTAATTTACATTTCTGTAACAGGTTATCCTAACGACACAAAGATTACAAAAGTATTTTAAGTAGCTTTTAATATTTTAAGTAATGTTCATATTATTATTTTGATACTATAGTTATTTTGGACAGTTAAATTATCCTGAAAGCAAAAGGAAAGAAAAGAGCTTAGGGCTGGGAAGGTGGCTCAGTGGTAGAGCGCTTGCCTTGCATGCCAGAGGCCCTGGGTTCCATTCCTCAGCACCACATAGGCAAAAAGAAAAAAGCCGAAAGTGGCGCTGTGGCTCAAGTGGTAGAGTGCTAGTCTTGAGCTGAAGAGCTGAGGGACAGTGCCCAGGCCCAGAGTTCAGGCCCCACGTCTGGACCCAAAAAAAAAAAAAGAAAAGAAAAGAGCTTAAACTCAGACAAAAAAGAATTTAGAAAGATAACAGGTGAGTAACTTTGTAATACACTGCAAGTATGTATGAAAACAGCATAAAGAACTTTAGTGAAAACAGTTGATCAATATGGGGCTGGGGATCAAGAAAAGAGAAATAGGCTCTTCAGGAAGAAATAGCCTCTAGCAGGCCTAATATGGAGGATGAAGGAGATTGAATATGGTCAAAATAGGGTTTTTTGCAACTATGAAAATAGAAGAAAGAAATGCTGATATTGTTTTGGGAAGTGAAAAGGGGGAAGTATGATAGAGAGTGAGATGGATTGGAATATTTTGCAAGTGTGTGGAAATGTAACAATAAAATCCCTCCTCTTCCTATATAACTAATATAAGCTAAAAAAATAAAAAATAAAACAACCAGAAAAACTTATTGCCACAAAAATCTGGAAGCCAAGACAGATAACACATCTGTAATCCCAGCACTCAGAAGGCTGAGGCAGAATACTGATACTGAATTCCAGGCCAGCCTACAGTGAGATCCTTCCTCAAAAAAGATTAGGTTCTAGCCGGGCTGGTGGCTCATGCCTGTAATCCTAGCTACTCAGGAGGCTGAGATCTGAGGATTACAGTTCAAAGCCAGCCCGGGCTGGAGAGACCGTGAGACTCCTATCTCCAATAAACCACCAGAAAACTGGAAGTGGCGCTGTAGTTCAAGCGGTAGAGCGCTCGCCTTGAGCTGAAGAGCTGAGGGACAGTGCCCAGGCCCAGAGTTCAAGCCCCACAACCGACCAAAAAAAAAAAAAAAAGATTAGGTTCTTTCACATCTTCTTAACCCAATAAGAGAATTTATAACCCAGAAGTAAACTAATTTTATGTTACAGAACTTCAAAAGGCTTTAAATAATTAGCAGTACTAGGTACCTTTTAATGTAATCTTGAAAAGTAGGACTATTAGAAAGACTATTCAGAAGTTGTAATTTAGTAAACAATAGTGTATTATATTCAGAAGTTTTGTTAAATGAAAGGATAGCTGCTCATATCACAGGGAATAACAGGTAACAGTGAGAAGGTAGAAATGTCAGTTTGTCGAATGAAGAGAAGAGGAGAGAATGCAGTAAAGAGTTCACACACAAGCCAGGTGCCAACGGCTCACACCTTTAACCCTAGTTACTCAGGAGGCTGAGATCTGAGAATTGTGGTTCAAAGCCAGCCCGGGCAGAAAAGTCCATAAGACTCTTATCTCCAATTAACCACCAGAAAACTGGAAGTGGTGCTGTGGCTCAAGTGGTAGAGAGCTGAAGAGCTGAGGGACAGTGCCCAGGCCCAGAGTTCAAGCCCCACGACTGACAAAAACAAAAAAAGAATTCACACACAATGTCTATGTATGACTACTTAAGGATAATAATAAAAATTTTAAAAAGTAATATTTGTTTCATTATAGTAACCATTGTACTAAGTAGGCCTTATATAATGTGTTGTATGTCTTAAATATTCACAACCTATATATATATATATATATATATTTTTTTTTTTGGTCCGGTCATGGGGCCAGAACTCTGGACCTGGGCGCTGTCCCTCAGCTCTTCAGCTCAAGGCTAGTGCTCTACCACTTGAGCCACAGCACCACTTCCGGGTTTTTTCTTTTTGCTTATGTGGTGCTGAGGAATTGAACCCAAGGCCTCATGCATGCAAGGCAAGCGCTCTACCACTGAGCCACCTTACCAGCCCCAACTCTTTTTTTTTTGGGTGGGGGGTCCGGTCATGGGCCTGAACTCTGGGCCTGGGCGCTGTCCCTCAGCTCTTCAGCTCAAGGCTAGAGCTCTACCACTCGAGCCACAGCACCACTTCTGGCTTTCTTTCTTTTTGCTTATATGGTGCTGAGGAATCGAACCCAGGGCCTCATGCATGCAAGGCAAGCGCTCTACCACTGAGCCACCTTCCCAGCCCCCTTACAACCAATATATTTTAAAAGTGCAAAAATCCTAGAAATCAGAAGGCTGAGATAGAAGGACCATGAGCTGAAAAGCCGCCTGGGCTATATAAAGTGAGTTGAAGGATAGGTTGGGCTATATAGTGGGACTCACTGAACAGTCAGAATTTCATATTCTTTTTTCTAACTCCATGCAGATAGACCATGACCATCCTCTCCTATAGCCAAGCACTGGATGTTTATACTTGGGACTTAATTTCTGGATTCTGGGATACATGAAGAAATAAAGTCAAGGGTATTATAGCTTTAAAAGATTGATGAGAGGGCTAGGAAGTTGGCTCAGTGGTAGAGCGCTTGCCTTGCATGCCTGAGGCCCTGGATTCGATTCCTCAGCACCACATAAGCAAAAAGAAAAAAAAGCCGGAAGTGGC